ACAACATAAATACATTACCTTGTTATGCATACCAGAATTTTAAAACGTAGTATTTTTGTCATTTTAATCTAAGGCTTAACTGGTAAACTATCGCCAGTGACTGAAGGGATGATATAAATCCAGCCAGGGCCCATGCAGGAAGCAAAGGCACTGTAAGTCCCCATGGTCCCTAGTATGGTGATCTCCCTTCAGTTACTGACGATCTCTAGCCCATTTTTATATTGTGTTGTTAATTCTTTCTGCTTTTATATGTTCCTCAACTAGTTTTAATACATTCTGTGATATTCTAGTTATTGTACTGTCCTTTGATGACAGGTCTTTTTATAAAGTATATATTCTTATATGTTATTAATGTATTAATTCTCGTCACGATATGGCTGAAATATTGCCGATGTGACGTTAAATATTAACTCACTCACTCACTCACTAAATACATTACCTGTACTCAGTTCAAGTGAGATAACTTCACTGCATATTTAACCAGAGTTATTTGGTCTAACTTCTATCATTTCTAAACAAAAAGTACTCATGTAAATAATTTGAACAAGTATATAAAACTATATAAAACCATGCAGATACCCCTTTGGTATCACATCTGCTCAAGAATAAATACTGGAACTGTCGCCATCAACTCTGTGATTTATATTCTCAACTTTATGTTCTAAGGTAAGCTGGTTTCCCTTGTTTTACTAACCTACTGTTTGACATTAACGATAAGGGGATTACTTTCTAAAAACAATAAAGTAAGGAATTTTCAACGAATTGGGACAAATATGTACACGATAACAATATTAACCCAACCAAGATATGGTTCTACGTCAAATACGTTTTTAAATAGAGAATAAGAATAAGGTTTAGAGCCTAACGATAATGAAGCATGCAATTCTTGTAGGTAATATTTTGTGCCCTAGCCATAAACTCGGAAATAGAAGAATCTATGCTGTCAATAAGCTGTCGTTCCGGTAACCTCCCAATTGTCAGACAGCTTATACCAGGATTAGTCAAAGATGGTTAGTTAAGTACATGTAACAGTTACCTTTTATTAAAATGAAACAGACCAGAAAAAAGGACATTTTGACGAATGTACAGGACAGGTTTATTATGCACTTTTAATCACCAAATCATACCAGAAATCACACATTTTGAAGTATTAACCAGAAAAATCACATATTTTTAATTATTTACAGGATATAATTATTCGACTTTAATGTGGAACATATTTCACTACTCATACAGCGGACGGAAATGTTATCATTTTACATAAGAAATAATAATTATTACATTATTAGAAAGACACTAAAAATACAATACACACTGAAACGTGTGATATCACACATTTTGAAGTCTTTACAGGATATATTTCATTACATTATTGCAAAAGGCACTTTGTTCCTCAAAGTTGTTGTTGTTGTTGTTGTTGTTGTTGTTGTTTTAAGTGTTTAAGAGGTTGCGTTCTTTCTTAGCAATTTCGGCTGACCTGTTCCTGTTTGGGACTCGAGTGTGAGTAAGGTAAACATATCTAATGCGGGTTTTAGTATTCATAAAATTGTCGTATATTGATATGATTCCATTTTTATCCTTGGCTGCTCTGTTTATATACGTTCGAGTAGCTGTCCATCTCTCAGAAATAGAGTTAGCCTTCGCTGTTGCATCTCTTGGCTTTAGGAGATCTACGACAGATAGCGGATCTAACTGCAATTCTTGTTTTAGCCGAGCCCGGGCTGGGGCATGATCTTAACATTCCAGTAACAAGTGAGCAATGGATTCAGGTTGATTGCAAATTGGCTAACCTTGTCATCGTCCTTTTAGCGAATTCCTCAAAGTGTTGTTGCTGCATTAAGTGTTTAAGAGGTCGCCTCTGTACCGTAATTGCCCTACAATTGGAATCAGTATTCACAACCCCTTTCTTATGTACGGGGACAATTACACCCACAGACCACTGAGTTGGAAAAATACACTTATCAAGAACAGATTATTTCTGCACATATATCATAAACGTGTCACGTGTTTTTTACACGCACCATATCCGTGAATATCCGGGTTAGAATAGGCCTTCAACAACCCATGCCGTAAATAGGCGACTAACGGGATCGGGTGGCCAGGCTCGCTGACTTGGTGTCTGGTCAAGACTCGATTATTTATAGTAGGCATATTGCCGAATGTGGCTTTAAACAACAATAAACAACAACAATTACACACATCAAAACATTAATTAATACAACATCTGGCATGTAGGCATATGAATCCTGACCATGATTCATACACGATACTAACATGATTAAATACTAAACATCACAAATTATTGTTTTAAGAGTTGAAATAAGCTTTCGGAGCATAAACAATTTGGATATAACTTACGGAATGTTTTAAGTATTCATAACAAACTCATGTACACACTGATCAACTGGCCCCGGCTGTCGAAAGGGGGCTTCTACGGTGACGGTATCTTTCCAACGATCTAAATTCAGGAAAGTCACAAAAGCAAACAAAGAATTGTACCCCCTCTTTAACGTTATTTACAATCCTACCCACCCAGTGTCAAGGGGAACTACTATCGCTCTTATAGCCATGCACTGTAAGCACGCGATCTGACAACACCTCATTTCTCCCCTGTGCGTTGCTATTACAAATTTGTGTATATGTGTCCTTAACTATATAATCCTGTCCTAACGAGTTTTTTACAGGTACTCGCATCTGTAGTGAAATGAATTGTTAACAATGAATACGTCAACCAGGTTTGCGTTAAATACGGGTCTCCCCACTTGAAGCTCAGTACAACTACTGCCATCGCATTTCTTATCTTATCGTGCGGGAAATTGAGTGTTGTTTTGAGAGCTCATGTCAGAAGGTCGAGGGTAAACGGGCGACTTATCAATTCAAGGGAGCATGTACGTGCACGCATTTCTATAGCAATTATTTATAAGAGTAGGTTATGGGTGAAATATAAATTGAAACTAACAACGGCCTCGTTTTCATTATGTCTAAGCGTTTAGTCAGTCACATTGGAATGGTACAGCCACTATTTTGCTAACTTGTGTATGGTCACACTATTTGTTGTTTGTGTATTGTTTAACGCCGCACTCGCCAATATCCCAGCTATTTGACGGTGATCTGTAACTAATCGGGTCTGATTGACATGATGATCCATGCGGTTGGGATACGATGACATGCATGAACCAAGCCAGCGAGTCTGACCACCCGATCCCGTTAGCCTCTTCTAACGATAAGCACAGTCGCCTTTTACGGCAGGCATGGGTTGCTGAAGACCTATTCTACCCCGGATCTTCACACCATCTGTTGATGCTCGCTGACCCATATTTCAATTGAACGTATCTTGGCCCCTGTTGTTTACAATTACAGTAAACTACACGCTTATAACGAACTGACGGATATAACGAACTTACTTTTTGGTTCCGACTATTTGCGGTAGTTATGCTGTATATTTGCTTATAAGGAACTACGGTTATAACGAACTAAACTTAGTAGTCCCTTTGAGTTCGTTACAACCGTAGTTTATAGTACCGTCCCCAGACGCTATTGCGAAGGCATATTCCCTTCAAAGTCGCAATTACACCTGATGTGTATACCATTAATTGAAATGTGAAAGGTGCAGAGGATAAGCAGAGTGTTTAAAACGTTATCGACCGCCTCCGTGGTCTAATGGTAGAGCGTCCGTCCCCAGCCGCGTCATACCAAAAGACGTTAAAAGATGGTACTTGTTGTTACCTTGTCTGGCGCTCGGCATTAAGGGGCTAAAACAAGGACTGGTCGGCTCGGAGTCAGTATACTGTGTCTGAGTGGGGTATTCATGTTAAACTGCGGCATGGTATCTCAGTGAGCTAGCACTATAAATTGGCATCAGTCCGGACTAGTACAAGCAGCCAGCCACACACACACACACACACACACACACACACACACACACACACACACACACACACACACACACGTGCATGCACGTCGCTATATAAGTGCAATAATCTTGGACGCGACGTTAAACCCCATTTCACCTCACCTTAAAACGTTATCTTGAGAACGAGTGAGTGATTGAGTGAGTGAGTGATTGAGTGAGAGAGTGGGTGGTTGGGTGGGTGGGTTGTTGGGTGAGGTAGTGAGTGAGTGAGTGGGGATATTATATATTATATATATTATATATAAATATATATTAAGGTTAAGGTTAAAAAGGGTATTATATTTTATATATATAGTGTATGTCTACATGTAGTGTATTTGGGGACATATACTTGACGTGGTAGTGTTTGTCTGCATATAGTGTTATTGAGGCCATAATCGCGTTTGACATTGTAATGACTGCATTGACTTCATGTAGTGTGGTCACTATCAGCACCATCTGTTCTTATAAATGTGGTATGTGCTTCAATGTTGTGCTACCAACACATTCATGGGCATTGTGTACGTGTCTGTCACAGAACGGAAACATTTCTTTATACTGTGCTTGCCGTCACACGCTGGTTATGTTTACAGTTTTGATGTGGTTAACTCCACACACAATCGTAAGATTAACGGCACTACATCCCTTTGTCGTCTTTGTCGTTTCGACCGCCTCCGTGGTCTTGTGGTAGAGCGTCCGCCCGGAGAGCGGAAGGTCCAGGGTTCGATCCCGGGCCGCGTCATACAAAAAGACGTTAAAAGATTGTACTTGTTGTTACCCTGTCTGGCGCTCGGCATTAAGGGGCTAAAACAAGGACTGGTCGGCTCGGAGTCAGTATACTGTGTCTGTGTGGGGTATTCATGTTAAACTGCGGCATGGTATCTCAGTGAGCTAGCACTATAAATCGGCATCAGTCCGGACTAGTACAAGCAGCCACACACACACATACACGTGCATGCACGTCGCACATAAGTGCAATAATCTTGGACGCGACGTTAAACCCAATTTCACCTCACCTCACCTTTGTCGTTTCATGGCAATTAAAACTTAATAGGAAATAACATGAAATAGAATTTTTTTGTGTTAATGAACGGTTGCTCTTTTACAGAACGAGTCACCAAGGTACACAAAGATGAACGGCATCATCCTCAACTCTGACAATGGGAATGGCTTCACCAACGGATCTCCAACCATCAGCCGAGGTCATGTTCTCATTACAGGGGGCGCTGGCTACGTTGGCACTAGTATTTTACCAATTCTGCTGGACGGGGGGTACGAGGTGACGGTGTTCGACTGTTTTAAATGGGGCATTTCATCATTACTACCTTTTGCCGACCACCCACGTCTCACCATCGTGAAGGGTGACATCATGAACAAAGATCAACTCAGTGAGGTTATCAAAGAGAAAACAGCGGTCATCCATCTAGCGGCTATCGTAGGTTACCCTGCATGTGACAAGGATCCTGAAATTGCGGATCAAGTGAACATCAGTGGTACACAGAACGTCGTGGATCTCATGTCGCCTGACCAGGCTCTTGTCTATGCAAGCACCGGCTCCTGCTACGGCGCCGTTGAGGGTCTATGTACCGAGGACACCAAAATCTGCCCCCTGTCTAAATATGGCAGTTCTAAGGCCGGTGGAGAGAAAGTGACTCTCACTGCTGGTGGTGTGGCTCTAAGACTGGCCACCGTCTTCGGAATATCACCTCGACTCCGCTTGGACCTCCTCATCAATGATCTTACTTACAAGGCGCTTACCATCAAGCATTTTGATCTCTATGAATCCCACTTCAGAAGGACATTTCTTCACGTCAAAGATGCTGCGCGGGCATTTGTGTTTGCATTGGAAAATTACAAGGTAATGAAAGGACAGGCATATAACGTCGGCGATGAGCGCATGAACCTGACAAAGCTGCAAGTGGCCCAGATCATCCAGGAGCAGGTACCAGCATGTAACATCACTGAGTCCAACTGCGGCGAAGACAAGGACAAGAGAGACTACGAAGTGTCATACGAGCGTATAAGGAAACTTGGGTACAGATCAACAATCACTGTTCAACAAGGCGTAAAGGATCTTCTGAAAGTTCTTCCCTGTGTACAAGTCACCGAGGTTGCCCGGTTTAAAAATGTCTAAGCCTCATGTATCAAACATAGACATTACTTATGATACTCGGCCAAGGTGTTAATAACTATATTATATTTATGCAATTCCTGACAAGACATGGGAATCTGGCAAGTACCGTGCGACGCCGTTTGTCCTAAAACCGTGGTTTCCCGGGCAATCTCGTTGGGAATGTCCACTTATTTATATTGGCCAAATCTCACTTCTACATCAAAACAAAGATTACATTTGGAAGCCCTGAGGTCTAAAACCTGTAAACAAGCCTTAATACATGATCCTATGACTCTTGGTTTTGAAGTTAGGACAAAATCAAATAGGGACTGGCGGCCATCTTGGATTTTGCCAACATGGCCACCCCAGTGAGCGTCGGCTTTGGCGCCCTCCAAAAATGGATTTAGTATGTTCTGGTCTACATCTATGCCAAATTTGGTGCTTGTAGACACATCTGCGCAATATTCCCCTAAGGTCCTGGACTATATAAGGTGCTGACGAGGATGAGTGATTGGGCTGGTTTGGACTTGGAAACGGGATCATTTTGCTGAGTGTCTTGGGTTTGCCGTATGGTTGTGCACTTACTCAACATTTACATTCTGCGTTGTTCATTGGATCTTATCATACATCTGAATATAATACGTATGTTAACGTTAATACACTTTGTAACTCAACATTTCTTGAAATATATTCATATGCATTGTTATTATTTATTTATTGACACTTATTTACATGTTGAATGAATCATTCCATTGTTGCCTTACTGCTGCTGTGTGTCGGGTTGACTTTGAAGACTTGCTTTTGTGGTGTGTATGGCAGCCGATGCTATAACTGTATTACAGAACACTTTGGTGCGACATCTAAATACCATACAATGCAATATCAAAATTGTATTTCTAATAAAAATGTATTTCATCACATAACATCAAAGAACTCTATATGTTTGGTACTTGTTCCCAAAAGTAGTAGAAGTAAATCAAATTCAGAATTCGTATTCTTGAGATAATCACATTTCTTGGTTTCCATCATTTATATCTGCATAGAGAATGTAACTGAGAAACTGTTTTATCGTAATTATTGAAGTCCATATCGAAAGTGTAACGTTCTTTCGAGGACAATTTTTTTAACTGAATCAAATGATACTAGATACCAGACGTACTTGAGTAAGCTTGGATCCTAGCGCTTTAGCTGGAAGAGTGGGTTTTGTTTGTAGCAATGTGATAGGTCCATGTCAGTTGCAGCAGCCTACAGCCCCTTTTCACGTGTATCAGCCAGGGCTCTTCTCACGTGTATCACTGTACAAGTCCTTTTAGGGCGAAGCATAAACATGCCCTTAACGTGTAGCATCTACAGTAGCTTGTCATGCAGTTTCATGCATTGTTCATTTGTCTTTGAGGCTGTGAGACTTTCGACTATTGACCTTATGAGGAATCTGCTAAATCAATAGCCTATAGTTCTATGCTTGCTTCAGACGGCTACTATACTAGCATTCAAAAAGGTATTTAGTAATCAATAAAGGTTCTTTGTTTTGACGGGCTTATTCCAGAAAAAAATCAATACCTTGCAGTTCCCTTCGGCAGCCAACGACTAATATATGAAAAAATCGATTATGTCATTTAACATTTATCCTTCTGGGTGACTTTAATGTTTTATTCTCATGGGTGACTTTACAGCTTTACCCTTCTTGGTGACGGTAATGTTTTACCCTAGTGGGTGACGTACATGATGTAATCTAGCGGGCTACTTTGATAGTTTATCTTCGTGGGTTACTGTTAGGTTTTCTCGTGCGGTCTTTGTCTCAGGCACTATTCTCACGGGTTGACATTAAACGTTCCTCATTCGCGGCTACAACCTAGATTACTTCAAGGCATGAGGCTATTGCATAGTGAGGATTCACTACATTCGTTTTAGATCTGGGACAGGTGATGGCTTTGAACAATGGGGAAATAGGGCAGAGCTTATGGGTTTTATGGCTACCGTATTAACACACTCTGTGCGCTCAAAGGGAATATATAAAAACGGGTATTTGAAAACATTTTTTACTACCCACTGTGTTCACCCATGTTCACATGGGTGTAAACATCTTTCTCTTTTTACATTCAAACCAATACTGCTGTATTGATCCACAGCTACTGTGTGTTGAACCCTCGTTAAGTCCACTTCCATTGCTTCGATATATCGACACATAATAATTATTATCCTCAATTTTGTGTAATGTCTCGATTTGCTAATTATTCGACATGTGGTAGAATTATTTCGATTTAATGAGGCTTCACAGTAACATATGTGTTATTCGGAGACATTTTCCTCGGTCACTCCAATATCAGTTGGGTTGAGACATTCTCCTCCATTGTCGTGTCAAGCCAAACTTATACGTGACGAAAATGTTTCATGTTTCTGTCTGGACAATAATGATCCGTATATATGTGGTGTTTTTTGTTGTTGTGAAGAAGCGGAGATATGTACGCGCCATGACGTGTAAAATGATGCTGGAAGTCTGGTGCATGTCATGAACACATTGTGGTGTTGCCAAATGAGAGCATAATAAATATGTTTTCAAAATCAAGGTTTGAACTTATCTTATTTCAGTGTAATTTAATCGTTACTTGCTGCTGGGGCAGTGGTAGACTCTTCTTGTGTTGTGACATATCAGTTACATATCTCATTTCACATATCTATTTCAGCTGATCACGGGTTCGAATACTAAATGTTTCAATAGTGGAAAATGTCTACGACCTGCCTCGGTTTTGCCTCCCTCCTTGGACCCTCCCTCCTAATTTTAGTTCGTAATAACCGTAGTTCGTCGTGAGCATATATACAGCATATATACAACAAATGACCACGACTAAAAAAGAAGTTCGTTATATCGGTCAGTTCGCTATAAGCGTGTACGTTATAAACGTAGTGTACTGTATTTGTATATTTTCTTCGAAATTTCGATTATTTTTCTCTTTACTTCGGGGAGCACGGGTGGCCCAGTCGTCCAAGGCGCCGCGATTCGCTGTGCAGAGTTGCGTCCCTTGGGCACGCCAGAAACCTATGATTGTGGGTTCGAATCCCGGTTCGCCCCGATTATGTTATCAGGTTTGTCAGCACCATACCCGTGCTCGTGGGTTTCACCGAAGTGGTAAACGTCTGAGACCTGCATCACTTCGGACTTTCCTCCCACATTAAGCTGACACGCCGCAATATAACTGGGATATTGTTAAAAGCGGCGTTAAACCAAACTCACCCACTCACTCACTCCAGCAATATCACGGCGGGGGACACCAGAAATGGGCTTCACACATTGTACCCATGTGGGGAATCGAACCCGGGGCTTCGGCATGACGAACGAACGCTTTAACTACAAGGCTACCCTACCGCCGACTCACTTTTGACAAAGAAAAAAACAATGACAGTATCACCAAATAGGTAAACGTCCCAGAACTGCACCAGTTGGACTTTCCTCATGAGCCGACACATGACTGAAATACTGTTCAAAGCGACACTGAACCCAACTCACTCACACAACAAATACCGCATGTGTATGGATAGACAGGGAATTCAGGCTTCTTTGACTGCATGAAATGTTTGATTTTTTCATGTGAACATTCATATAGAAATACCAAAATAATTTAACATACATAATTGAAAATATTTGGACAATATACGTTATATACATATTTAGGTAAACCGATACTGATAAGACAATCAATTTATGAAAGCTTGTTACCTGAAATATATGCTGAACACTAAAAAGTTGTGATCATGAATATTTTGGGGGATATTTTTTTGTCATGAAGACTAAGCACACAATTTCATATAAAAAAATCCCCAAACATATTTATGATATCTAACTATTTCTGTTCAGTATATTAAGGAGGTCAGAGTTCACATGATAATGTATAGTTTTGATTAATGGCAACTTTTACAGATTTAAACAAATATATTTTGTTGTCAAATGTGTTACGACATATATGATATGACAAGTCATATTTAACTTGAAGTCAGGTTTCAATACAGATTGAGTTTGTTGTCAATGGTCATTTGAAACTATTGTTACAATTACTATTTTGGGGGAATTTATCTGGGTGTACCTGGAAGTAGATAAATTGAAATGTGACTCCATGGCACGTGGTTGGCTAACCAAGCAATCAGGCCACGCGCACCAATGGACCACTGTTTCCTGATTGGCTGATTAAAGAATTGGTGGTGCTTGTGTTGCATTAGGACGTAACTGATTTCGTATCGTTGTCTACAGTATTTTGTGTGTTAACGGTGAAATACGCAGTTTGTAATGTTAATAGTGTTGTATATTTTGATTAGTATATACTTCAATATGTGTTTGAGTTCATGGAGTTATAAACTGCACATGTACCAGCGAGTGAAATACATCTGATATCAATGATTTGTAAATTACGTCATTCCAAGCAATTATCTTTTGTGAATATGTTTGCATTACCCGAAACAAAAAATGGGCCACACCAACTAGCGGAGTAGATTTGCCTTTTTGTCTGGTATCGCGATTTTGCCGTATCGTAACACCTCTAGTATTCAAAAGCAAGTATTTGTGAAAAGGATTGTTCAGTATTTTGTAGGAATGTAATAGGATCAGGTAGCTGAATGTAATATTTTCTTGAATAATCAGAACCAAACACTCCGTGCTGGACTGTACATGGGTACACACAATAATCTAACTCTGCATGCATTCGTACAGACATTCTCAGGGCTCTCGTTTGAGAGAAGGCGCACTCGTGTCAGCTGTTATGAGTGTACATGGATCCGTGTGAGGGAGGGGCACGCATCCGGAGCTTGCTGTTGGGTGGGTGGGGCATTATGGTTTAGTGTTAGGGGAGGACACACTCGGGGCTCGGGGCCTGCTGTTTGAGGAGGACACCATTGTGGTTTGTTGTTAGGTAGGAAACATTCGGGGATTGCTGTTAGGGGAGGACTCACTAGTGGCTTGATGTTAGGGGAGGACACACTCGGGGCTAGATATTAGGGAAGGACACACTAGTGGCTTGATGTTAGGGGAGGACACACTCGGGGCTTGCTGTTAGGGGAGGAAACACTAGTGGCTTGATGTTAGGGGAGGAAACACTCGGGGCTTGATGTTAGGGGAGGACACACTCGGGGCTAGATATTAGGTGAGGAAACACTAGTGGCTTGATGTTAGGGGAGGAAACACTCGGGGCTTGATGTTAGGGGAGGACACACTCGGGGCTTGCTGTTAGGGGAGGACACACTTGTGGCTTGTTGTTAGGGGAGGACTCACTAGTGGCTTGTTGTTAGGGGAGGACACACTTGTGGCTTGTTGTTAGGGGAGGACACACTTGTGGCTTGTTGTTAGGGGAGGACTCACTAGTGGCTTGTTGTTAGGGGAGGACTCACTAGTGGCTTGATGTTAGGGGAGGACTCACTAGTGGCTGGCTGTTAGGGGAGGACACACTAGTGGCTTGATGTTAGGGGAGGACACACTCGGGGCTAGATATTAAGGAAGGACACACTAGTGGCTTGATGTTAGGGGAGGACACACTCGGGGCTAGATATTAGGGAAGGACACACTAGTGGCTTGATGTTAGGGGAGGACACACTCGGGGCTAGATATTAGGGAAGGACACACTAGTGGTTTGATGTTAGGGGAGGAAACACTCGGGGCTTGCTGTTAGGGAAGGAAACACTCGGGGCTAGCTATTAGGGGAGGACACACTCGGGGCTTGATGTTAGGGGAGGAAACACTAGTGGCTTGATGTAAGGGGAGGAAACACTAATGGCTTGATGTTAGGGGAGGATACACTCGCGGGTGATGTTAGGGGAGGAAACACTCGGGGCTTGCTGTTAGGGGGATGGGCACTATTGTGGTTTGCTGTTAGGGGAGGAAACACTCGGGGCTTGATGTTAGGGGAGGAAACACTAATGGCTTGATGTTAGGGGAGGAAACACTAATGGCTTGATGTTAGGGGAGGACACACTCGGGGCAAGGTGCTGCTGACTGCCCAACGCCAGTCCTTTAGTGACCAGACACTGTCAAATTATTTGGCTTGGAAATGTGCGTATTTTAAACAAATGACATTGTACATTTTTAGTGTCATATTCCATATAATATTCCATAAATTATTTTGGGTGCTTTTCTACGAGAGCTATCATGTAAATTGTGTATCCTGATTTACGATTGTTGAACGTAAGAAAATGACAGTCCTTGTTCTATAATTCCTATTTGCAATATATGTTCGGGGCCATTGTTTATGTACCCTTACAGTAGTTGTAGCAGCAGTACTCGTGGTTCTAGACAATAACTTGCATCAATTGTAGTTGTAGCAGTCATGGTTGTTGATTATCACATGGTCTGCGATCATTGTGGCAACACCATGAGCAAAGGTTTCTGGATTTCTCAAGGGACACAACTCAGCAAAGCGAATTTCGGCGTCTTAAACGACGGGCCACCTGTGCCCCTTCTACTTTCCCTATACACAACCTCTATTGAAATGACTTTTAAATAGATATTTTTCCTCACAGTTTACGTACCGTCAGAAATACATGAAAGCTAAGGAATTTAAGCAAACAGACACCAAGCAAATGGCATAAATATACCTCCAAACACATTTCTAAAACAATTATCACACGTGTTGGTGCCGACTGGCACTGTATCCAAATATTAACATATTCTTGAACATGAAATCATGAACTGAAATACATGTATACATAGAGTATCTTTTAAATCTATATCAAATATATACTCGAGTATACGTAGATAAACGTTTAAAACACCGAGTTTCGACTTTTATCGGCGAGTGTTGATATAAACTGAAGGCCATAAGAAACGTTACCACTTTAAAAACATATGTTAAAACTATATCATTGAAAAACACATCGTTTAAACACAGCGACTTCGACTAATTCATATTTATGTGGGGGTCATGGGTGGCCCAGTTGTCTATGGCGCCGCGATTCGCTGTGCAGCGTTGCGTCCCTTGGGCACTCCAGAAACCTATGATTGTAGATTCGAATTCCGGTTCGCCCCGATTATGTTTCTAGGTTGTCAGCATCATACCCGTGCTCGTGGGTTTCACCGAAGTGATACTTCCCACAGAGTTTAGTCATGCACAATGACTGTGGAATATATTTATTTTATGAAGAAGAAAAAACAAACAAAAAACAACAATCTAGAAATGTATTCAAAAGCAAGTCTAGCCTGCTCCAGCTAGCTCTATTCAAATGAATCCCTTCTTGAGAAGGGTGATAAGACTGACATAAACAACTACAGGCGTTTTGCAGTAAGCAGCTGCTTAGGTAAACTATTTTGCAACTTCATAAATGAAAGAATAATGGAACACATGGAACACATGGATTAAACTGTATTACAAGACCACTGTCAGACTGGATTTAGAAGAGGATACAGAACATCAAATAATACATTTGTTCTTTAAACATAAATATATTCTACAAAATGTAAAAAGAAAAGAATATACAGTTGCTTTGTAGACTTTCAAAAGGCCTTTGATTCAGATGACAGATTACTACTCCTTACAAATCTGAGGAAGTGTATTAATAATATTATCATCACTATATCTCTTATGAAGTGAA